ATTCCTGCCGGTGGAGGTGAGGGAGTACTTGAGACCTTCGCTTTTTGAAGATGTAACTTTTCTACAAGTCATCCTCCTTCCCCTCCTCCTTCGCTTTCCTCAGGGGAAGGTGGCCTTGGACACATTCCCGTGCCATCTTGGACTCTAGATTACCAGGGCATATGTTTCTCCTGGTTGGTGTGGTGATGTTAGGCGGAGTGAGTGTGTGACGTACGCCGGGGGGGTGGATGGGACCTGCTTGAATTTCCTATAACAAGTTTGTCCCCGCTGAAAGTCTTTAGTTCTAACACGGTGACTTTCTGGATCTCGCATATACTCTAATAAACGTATCAGTGCCAAAGCGAGAGTTACTGAGCGTAACTGGACCTTTCCTGCTTCCCCATCAAGTGTTTAAGACAAAGGGGATTACTGGAGGTTTGGGACTTCAGCTGAGTATACAATGCCCTAGAACAGGGGTCTCCAACCTGGTGCCCGTGGGCACCTTTCCCTGCCCCCTGCTGGGCATTTTAAAGAAGACGTGAATGCTTGGAGGTTTGGGGAGGGGCTTCAGCCAGGTGCAATGCCCTAGAACAGGGACACTCCCAACAGGACTGTGGACACCTCCCCCCCTCATGGGGCTTTTGCTTGGCAGAGCTTCCAATTGGCTGTTTTTTAAATTTATTTTACTGTTTCGATTTATACACCCTGCCTTCCCCACAAAGTGGGGCTCAGAGTGGTAAACAGCAGTAAAAAATCCAAGAGGTAATAGATACAGTTAAAACAGTATAAAATACAGAGTATTAAAAGCAAACAGTTTGCGACTGATAGCAGTGGATCCAGCATTAATCCCCCAAAATACCAGGAAAGGACTGTCAGGAAACCTCAGCCCTGCAGAACCTAGGGCCTAAACGTTGCCCTAATGTATTGGAGAGGTACTCTAAGAGGTATATGTGATCTTGCTCCCTGACACTATGTGGTCAGCAGTGGATCCAGCATTAATCCCCCAAAATATACTTAACCAGGAAAGGACTGTCAGGAAACCTCAACCCTGCAGAACCTAAGACCTAAACATTGCCCTAATGTGTTGGAGAGGTACTCTAAGGGGTATACCTGATCTTGTTCCTTGACACTATGTGGTCATCTCCACCTCCAGCAGCATCCGTTGTATGATTGTGCCCACTCTCCTGTGTCAGAGTTCCCAAGGGGCCCAGAGGCTCAAGAGGTTTGGGGACCGCTGCCCGAGAGTCACTTCTCCAAAGCAGTCGTCCCCAATGCTCCCTCTAAGCGGTGGAGTCTTGTGAGCAAAAATTCTACTTTGCAAGCGACTGGCATTAAAGTCGTGAGCGAGCGATTTGGCTACTGCCTAAATTAGCTTGCTCTGGAGCCGTTCTTCCTGAGTTAAGACGAGAATCCGAGCTGGAGGCTCAAAAAACTGTGAGCTAGCTCACACTAACTCAGCTTAGGGGGAACGCTGGTCATCACCACTGTGGAACTGGCTGCTGTCAGCTGGAGAGCAGCCGTGGTTCTGGGAGATATCCTGGCTCCACATGGAGGTTGGTAACACGAGTGGAGGAAGGACCTTCTGCTGGGAGAGAGCTCTTGCAGTGAGCCAGGGGGATGTGTGTGGCCCCCTTTCCCTTTCCTGTTTTCTGTTTGCAAGGAAAATGAGCAGGACAGCCGAGCTTGGAATAGAGCCCTTCCAGACTTCCTCACGTCACAGGAGTCAACTTGGTTTCTCAGCTGCTGACTGGCTAACAGGGCTCCAACTTCTGGAATTACTTGCAGGGAGGTTCCAGAGCTGGACTCCCAGCGCCTGCCGTCTGGAGGAGTGCAGCCTGCGTTCTCTGGGCTGTTTGGTGTAGTGGTTTAGTGCGCGGACTCTAATCTGGGAGAACCAGGTTTGATTCCCCACTCCTCCACTTGCACTTGGCTGGATGACCTTGGGCAAGCCATAACTCTGGCACAGCTGTTCTTGAAAAAAAGAGCAGTTTCTCTCAGAGCTCTCCCAGCCCCACCTACCTCACAGGGGGTCTGTTGTGGGGAGGGGAAGTGAAAGGAGTTTGTGAGCCGCTCTGAGACACCTTTGGGTAGTGAAGGGCCGGGGATAAATCCAATCTCTTCTTCTTCTGTCAGAGCTGTTCTTGAAAAAAAGAGCAGTTTCTCTCAGAGCTCTCCCAGCCCCACCTACCTCACAGGGGGTCTGTTGTGGGGAGGGGAAGGGAAAGGAGATTGTAAGCCGCTCTGAGACTCCTTCTGGTAGTGACGGGCGGGTTATAAATCCCATCTCCTCTTCTGTGTAAATGGGCCTGGCAGCGGCTGCCCCAATTTACTGGCATTTTTTTGTTGTTGCTCGCAAAGGCCCTCCCTCCGTCGGTCAGGGTCAAGAGCCAGGAAGGCCACATTGTAAGTAGCCAGTGGCCCGTGGTGAGCCAGGATCACCTCTGGGCAAGGAAATGACCAAAGGCTGAGGAGGAGGAGGGCCCAGCAGGGGCTTGTGGGGGCCAGGAAAAACACCTGCAGCTCGGTGCGGGATTTTGCAGTACGCCCAGGAGGTCAGGGTGGCTCGGGAAGCGTGGCCCCGGAGGTGCATTCTGAGGAGCAGGCCCTGTAGTTGTCATGTGACCTGGCAAAGTGGCCGGGGACAGGCACGTGGGTGCACAGTGGCTGTCCTTCCCTGTAAGTTGTCTGCGCCAGGAGCAGCCTTGCTTAAATGTCCCCGTTCTCCCATGCCTGTTTCAGGTTGTCGGGAGGTCCCCTTCTCTGCCCCATCTTTTCTCGTGGCTCCTGACCGGGAAGCCTGTCTAGGGATGCTCGTGGTTGCTGCGGGAAGGTGATGAGAAGCAGGGGAGCCTGCGGCACCACCTGAGCGCAGGGATCAGCATTTTTTTCAGCAGTCCCGGGCCGGCCCGGTGCTAGTGGCAGTGTGCACTGAAGGGCTGAAATGAGAGCCGGTTTGGTGCGGTGGTTAAGTGCGTGGACTCTAATCTGGGAGAACCGGGTCTGATTCCCCACTCCTCCACTCGCAGCTGCTGGTGCGACCTTGGGCGAGCCCTGGTTCTGGCACAGCTCTCTCAAGGACAGTTCCGGAAAGAGCTCTCTCAGCCCCACCTACCTCACAGGCAGTGTTCCCTCTAAGCTGAGTCAGTGTGAGCCAGCTCACAGTTTCTTAGCCTCCAACTCACACATTTTTGTCTCAGCTCAGGAAGGATGGCACCAGAGTAAACTAATGTATGCAGCAACCAAGTCACCTGCTCACAACTTTAACACCGGTAGCTCACAAAGTAGAATTATTGCTCACAGGACTCCACAGCTTAGAGGGAGCGTTGCTCACAGGGCGTCTGTTGAGGGGAGGGGGAGGGAAAGGAGCTTGTAAGCCGCTCTGAGACTCCTTCAGGTTGTGACGGGCGGGGTGTAAATCCAATCTCTTTTTCGTCTCCTTCTTCACGAGCCTTTCTCTGTGCCCCCTCAGGAACCGGCTGCCTGGTCAAAGCGGTGGAGACGGCGGCGGAGCGGGAGGCCTTTGTCATCGGCAAGCCCAGCCAGTACATCTTTGAGTGCGTGGCCAGCGAGTTCAACATTGACCCCGCCCGCACCCTGATGGTGGGCGACCGCCTGGACACCGACATCCTCATGGGAAACAACTGCGGCCTGACCACCCTGCTCACCCTCACGGGGGTCAGCACCCTGGAGGAGGTCCAGAGCCACCTGGAGAGCAGCTGCCCTGAGCGGCGGAAGTTGGTCCCCGACTACTACGTCGAGAGCATCGCCGACCTTCTCCCTGCTCTGAAGGCTTAGAGAAAGGGAAAACGCTTCCAGCTTTTTAGACGCTATCTCCCCTCCCCCTTCACCCACCCCCACAATCTGAGGGTGATACTCTCTCCTCGGTTACTGTAATGTACGTGATTGCGGCTTGCACATGGGAGATGCTTTTAGCACCTAGCGTTCAATTCGAGTCCTCTGTTTACAGATTCCTTTTAAAAAAAATGCACTTTGGAACAAAGAGGGAAGCGCGTTTGCGTCAGTCCACTCACGGACGTCGTGAGAGTGTCAAAAGCGCGTCCGCAGTGTTAGAGCGCCAGGGTAGAGTCTTGCTCAGTTGGGCTGATTGGGGGGGTGGGGGGGGGTAATTCTCGGGCACCTTGCGGTACGGTTTCCGGTGGAAGCTGTAGCCGACTCTTTGGAAATTCAGGGAATTGAGCAGCTTGAGGGCATTCGCTCCAGAACTTGATTTTTAAGCTTAGCTTTGATGCTTACTCAGGGCCAGTTTTCGACAGGCGTGATGTCGAGGGGAAAGAAGCCACACGTGTGTGTTTGTGTGCGCGCGTGTGCGCGTCTGGTAGTTTTGTCATCTTCCCTTTTCTCCCCCACCCCCAACTGCAGTCGCTCAGTATGCAAAATACGAATAATTCTGTCTGTGTTGTGCGTTCCTCCACGTTAGACGTGTGTGTGTAGAATTAGGAAAAGAGTACAGATGTCTATTTTAAAATTAACTCTAACATATTGCACATCAGTTTTGTGGGCCGGGAGGGACTCGATCTTGAGAGGTCCTCCTGAAGTTCCTCAGTTACACACCACGACGGCACCTGCGTAATCTGCAGGACTCAACACCGTCTTCAGTGAGGGGCTGGGAACACTGGTGGACTCCAACGTTGTCACTGTGCTTAGTATCGAAACAAAACGTGCCACGCTTCCCTGCAGGTCTAGCGGAAAGTGATGAGTCCGACCTGCAAGAGAGACCTGCTGGGAACAGCGGGGCCTTTGGTTAGGATCTCTGTGGCACGACTGGGTGCAGTCGTCCCCTCCGGCCATTTTGGGAGTCTCTCCTGACGAAGCCAGTACGGCCACTTGCGTGGCGCTTCCTGTTAACATCTTCCTCGTGGGTTCGTGGGAGGACCTGGGGGAAAAAACCCCTTTGGAGCTCCGCCTCAGCACCAGTGGCCTGCTGAAGGCGGAGGGTTGAAGCCATGCCGCTTTGCGATGTATTTATTTTTGGGGGCAAATAGGGTGACTTGTGCTTCTCCAGGTGCCCAGGCAGCTTTACGCTTGTGGCGCTGACCGCCAGATTATGTAACGTCTCCAGAAACGAGAGCTGTAGATTAAGGAAGAGCGAGTCGTCCTCTCTCCTGGCAGTGGAGAGAGGGTGTGCTTTGTTTTGCCTCTCCAGCGTAGCCCAAACATCTTTGACCTTGTGACAAGTGCAGCTCACTCTTCTCGTCTGGCAGACCATCAGAACGTGTACTGACTTTGCCACCCTCCTGTACAGCAATAATCGTGTTGTCCACAGTGGGAAAGTATTCTGTATCAACACAGTACGTGTGTCAACGTTTGTACTACTTTTAACGACACCTCTTTGAAGTGTTCAAGGTGCGCAGTGATTCCCCCTCCCTTGTCATCGGTTTCCGAATAGAAAGATTTTCTCGTCGTGCTCTCTGTTAAATGTCGTTCTACACCGAGAACCTTTTATTTCTGTCCGGACTGACTTGAAAAACAGCACAACATCCATTCTCCCCCCCCCCCCCTTGGTACTTGTGCTTATGCAATTCTTTGGAGATTCAGGAATGTGTAGAGAACATGATAAATGTTGTTTAAACCCTGTCGGCTGCTGCTCAGACCTATTTGCCAGATTGCAGAACCCGTTACCTCTTTTAACTTGTTTCCGACCTTTGTTGATGAAGCTGCTGGTGGAAAACTTGTCAGTGACCCAGCGGCAGCCACTGGGAAATGAACGTTGGGGGACTTGGAGTCTAATTAAACATAAGGTCTCACCGAATCTGGCGTTTGTCATCTTTTAATTTTAAATCAAGTGCTGGTGTTCCTTTAAAATCCCATTTCTTCTGTTCCCAGTTTGGTGTAGTGGTTAAGTGCGTGGACTTTAATCTGGGAGAACTGGATTTGATTCCCCACTCCTCCATTTGCAGCTGCCTGATGACCTTGGGCAAGCCATCGTTCTGTCAGTGCTGTTCTCGAATAAGAGCAGTTTCTGTCAGAGCTCTCTCAGCCCCGCCGACCTCACAGGGTGTCTGTTGTGGGGAGGGGAAAGGGAAAGGAGATTGTAAGCTGCTCTGAGACTCCTTTGGGTAGTGAAGAACGGGGTATAAATCCAATCTCTTCTTCTCTTCTTCCCTGATAGCAGAATAATTTATTAGTGGGTTGGGTTTTTTTTAAAGGAGTGATGCTTCAACTGTGCATCATCCCCAAACCCGGGGTCTGCTTCTGAAACAAACGGCTCTCTCACTGCAGCAATTTTATTACATATCAGAAAGTGGAATCTCTTTTTGTTCTTAGTCGTTTAGAATCACGAAAGGACTTCTTGGCCGCAGGAGCAGGCCAGGCATTCCAGGGATGTTTTTGCCAGGGCAAAATCTGCCCGGCATCAGCCATGAGGTATGAAAGTCACACAGATGTGCCTGTCTGAATTCGGAAGCCGGCATGAAAGCATTCCACGCTTCTCTCCTCTCCCGGTCCTTCCCCGCTGTCTGAGCCTTTGTTGCCAGTGGGTCTCAAGCAACAGGGTGGGGAAAGCGGTGTGATCTTTCGCCAGACCGAATAGCTCGGGACTGAAAGATGGCAGGTGCTTCAGAAAAACACAAGCAAAGCTGATGACAAGCCGTCCTCTTCGCTTGGCCCCAGATCTCCGGACGAGCTCCCGGTGGAAATTCTTGAGCCCTTTGGCCATCTCAGGGTGCTGGTGAGCCAGTCTGGTTTGGCCGCAGGAGTAGAAAAGAGCACTCGTCCAGGAGTGCCTTAGAGACTTAACACAATTTGTGGCAGGGTAGGAGCTTTTGGGAGTCACTGCTCACTTCTTTAGACTCGCAAAGTGCCGCAAATTTTGTTAGTCTTTAAGGAGCTAGTGGGCTCCTCTTTTCTACTGCTATGGACAGGCTAAGCCGGCTGCCCGTCTTGGTTTGGCCGTGTCTCACCCAGGTGTGCTCGAAAGGGTCCCAGTGCGTCGCTTTCCTTCCGGTGGGCCGTAATCACAGGACTTACTTGGCTGTGAAATACGGAACTGATTCCTCCTTAGCTGCATCTCACAAAAGTGACCAGTAGCTGCCTGAAGGGTAAAAGGGACCAAAACTCAGACGGAGGATTGTAACGGATTGGTTTTCATGAAAACAAGGGCCGTTCTGATGCTCTTGACCCAAGACGCAACGAGGGCGCCTGTGTGTACCATCTGTATGGTGGCTTCTCTGCCCAGTTAGGGTGCTTCCTCCACACACCCCTTTCTTGTGGCATTCCTTCTAACCACTGATGCTGATGGTAACCCACTGAAATCCCTGTTAAAACAACCTCCGCCTTCCACTACTGCGTAGAGCACAGAACTTTGATTTCTTGTGCCGTTTTGGTCCTTCGAAATGAAGCTTGGTGCTCCCTAAATTTGACGACACGGATATCATGGCTAAAAGGGGCTGCAGCGGCTCCGAGGTTAAGACGCTGAGCTGCAGACTGGAAGGCCGGTAGCTCGGCAGTTCGAGACCCGAGTGTCACGTGACGGAGTGAGCTCCCGTCTCCGGCCCCAGCTCCTGCCAACCTAGGAGTTTGAAAGCAAGAAATTGCAAGTATATAACTAGGTACCGCCTCGGTGGGAAGGTAACAGCGTTCCATGCACCTCGGCGTTTAGTCATGCCGGCCAGGTGACCACCACGGGGAAGCCTTCGGACAGCGCTGGCTCTCCGGCTTGTAAACGAAAATGAGGGCCACCCCCCTAGAGTCGGATCTGACTGGCTTTTGAGCAAGGGAAACCTTTACCTTTTTTATATCAAGGCTGGCCGCTCTGTTTGCCAGAACGGGAGTGTTCTCTCTTTACTGTCTCCTGCCTCCCCTTCCTTCAGGCCCCACACAAAGGGCAACGACGTCTACGTGTGTTTGACCAGGATTCACCTTGGGAAGGCCCGGCAGCCAAGGGGCAGAAGCAACCGTTCATCTCCCACTGACCCTGGTGTCGCCGAGGGAGACATGTGGTGCTTCTCGTGCTTCAGAGAGGATGGGCTGCGCGTGAATGGCAGGGGGCCCTTGGGCTGTGCCCTCCAGGGCGCTCGGAGTGGGCAGTCCTCACTCCGCACCGCCTTTGCGGCCCCTCTCCCCTGCATGTTTTACGCCTCCCCCCTCCTCAACCCCCGAGTGGCCCAGCAGATACTTGGGGTGCCTGCCAGCATGTAAAAGTCCCAACACAAAGCCCCCGATTGTGTTGCCCATGAATGCCTTAGCTGTCTCGCCAAGGAAGACGGGCAAGGCATCGCCCTCCCTGGGACAATGTCTCTCTGCAGCCCCCCTCCCCTCCCTTCCAGGGAGGCTAAGGTTTCACCTCCACGCGTCTCTCTCCGAGCGGAATTGCCAGGGTGGGCAGCTTACCTGGCCCCGGCGGGCAAAAATCTCAGGTTTCTACCCAGATTCTGAGGACTGTCTGATCATGCACAACCTCGACATTGTCCGAGGACGGAGTTGCAGGAGGCTGCACCCGGAGCGGAAGAATGGAGGAGCCGGCTGCTGCCCACCCCACCCCGTCCCCGGTGAGTCCTCTAACCCACCCCACCCCCAACGACCACTTCTTGGCACTAGCCAAAAGGCCTGGATGTTGGTCTTGGCCAGTGTTCCCTCTAAGCTGAGTTAGTGTGAGCTAGCACGCAGTTTTTTAGCCTCCGGCTCTCCCATTTTTGTCTTCGCTCAGGAAGGAGGGCTCCAGAGCAAACTGATTCATGCAATAGGCAAATCGCTGGCTCACCACTTTAATGCTGGTAGCTCACCAAGTAGGATTTTTGCTCACGACACTCCACAGCTTAGAGGGAACATTGGTCCTGGCCTTCCCATTTCTCACCTGGCTTTCCTTTTTATCACCCGGAGGGGAAGAATGGAGTAGCCGGCCGCTGCCCACCCCACCCCGTCCCCGGTGAGTCCTCTGACCCACCCCACCCCCAACGACCACTCCTTGGCACTTGCCAAAAGGCCTGGATGTTGGTCTTGGCCAGTGTTCCCTCTAAGCTGAGTTAGTGTGAGCTAGCACGCAGTTTTTTAGCCTCCGGCTCTCCCATTTTTGTCTTCGCTCAGGAAGGAGGGCTCCAGAGCAAACTGATTCATGCAATAGGCAAATCGCTGGCTCACCACTTTAATGCTGGTAGCTCACCAAAACAATACAGTGTTTGAGGTTGATACAGACATTGATACAGAAGAAGGAGCTGCGGTGGCTCAAGTGGTTAAGACGCTGAACTGCAGGCTGTGGAGGGTCGGTAGTTCAGCAGTGCGAGACCCGAGTGTGCCGCATGACGGAGTGAGCTCCCGTCTCTAGTTCCAGCTCCTGCCAACCTAGCAGTTCGAAAGCAAGAAATTGCAAGTCGATAAATAGGGACCACTTCGGTGGGAAGGGAACAGCGTTCCGTGCGCCTTGGTGTTTAGTCATGCCGGCCACATGACCACGGAAACGTCTTTGGACAATTCCGGCTCTTCGGCTTGGAAACGGAGATGAGCACCGCAACCCTAGAGTCGGATTCGACTGGCTTTCGAGCAAGGGAACCTTTACCTTACGGTGTGAAGACTGTTGGAAATGCGTTACCTTCACACTTCTGGGGATCTTGATGGTTTTGCACAACATGGCGTAACACTTAAATTGGTCACACTGATTTGTCGAGAAGGGTGAATGTGATTGCGGGATTCAGGGAACTGTTGTGAGCCAGTGCCGTTGAAATACACTGTACACCTTAACCTTGTAGAAGGAGCAATGTTTGAAAGTTTGTTTTCTTGGGAGAGGGGAGTGGGGTGTGTGTTTCTATGTGTGTGTATCCCTCTTCCCATGGAGACCTCGGTGTGTAGCTGCTTCCGTTTCCCTTGTCTCTCAGGAGAAGAGGGCCCCACCAGAATCCAGAACTCCTCCCAGGATATTTTGGGTCATCCTCTCTGTGATTCTGATGTGTGTGATTATCTGCATCGTTGTGGCGGGCGTGCTGAGCTTCACCCAGAGTTCTTCCAAGGTAAGGAACTTCGCTTCTCTTCGCTTTCCCATTTTCCAGCAGCAATAATGAAGCGACCGAAACAGTGTCAGGTTCTTGGTCCACCTTGCTTAGCATTCTCTCCGGTCACCGGCAGCAGCTGCACAGAGCCTTTTCCTTCCTTTTGGCCAAGTTAGTTCTCACAAGTTGCGGCAACACGGGCCTCAGGTTGGGCCACGCGGCTCATCCGCGCTCTCCCCGCTAATAGCCACCCTGCTCTTTCCCGTCAGCCTCTTTTCCAAGTGATCCGCTTAAACTTCCAAAGCCACCCGGGGTCCCAGATGAACCAGTCGGCCTTCGTGGACAAGTCCAGGAACACCGTCACTTATTACGTCACTTCCTCAAGCAACCGCACGACGGCAGTCCTGTTTGACGGCAAGAATGTGAGTGTAGCGGCTGCCGGCTGCCTTTGCGGGTTGCAGAATAAAGTCTCCTGTGCAGACCCACCGCCGGGAAGGGCTTTGTCAGGCGTGGATGCCGAAGAGGGGGGGAAAGATGGTGGTTTGTCGGGTGGACCAGTAAAGCTTCCTGCCACCACAAATCCCATGTGGTGGTTTTGGCCAGACAGTCAGGTCTTCAGAGACCACCTCGGAGGGTAGCCAGGTTTGGTCGGTGGTAGAACAGGTCGGTTCAAGTCCCATTACCCCTTAAAGACCAACGAGATGTTTCGGGGTGTCAGCTCTTGAGAGTCTGAAGGTTGGCTGTGTCCGTGTGGGATGAGCGAGATTGAAGACCACAATCATGTTACTTTGCATTGCAGATTTTATGATGACCTTCGGAATTTATTTATTCGATTTATATTCCGCCCTCTCCGCACGGGCAAGCTCAGGGTGGTTTACAACATATTAAAACACAATACAATAAATAGAATCAGGATGTATTTTTAAAGCCTTTTCTGCTACATTTGGAGGGTTGATTTGAGGACTGTTAAGACCTTTATACTTTTTGCTTCAAATAAGAGCGAAATCAGTGAATCCGTAGCAAAATTCCTCTATTAGACTTCTAGGAGGAGATGTTCTTTTTGACCACAGATCCTATTGTAATCTATATGGATTCATGCTGTTAGGCCAATAAAGGTTTTGTGAGAGTCTGAAGTGAGCTTGGACTCTCCAAAGCTTCCGCCCAGAAAATCTTGCTCTCTACGGTGTTTCTCAATTCACATCCAGCTCTTCAGTTTCTGTAAAGGTTTCCCCCACTCTTCTGTTTGGTATCCCCCCCCCCCCAATAACTTTAATTGTCTTCC